TTTAAAAGCGACATGTGGACTTTAGAATCACTCTGATCGGAGGTCAGATGATGAAATGGTGCACTCCGGAAGTTGGTCCGGAAGTGCTGTCATGACAGCTTTTTAGCTGTCATGACAGCAAAAAAATCAATTTTTTAACATGTCTAATTTTCAATCCGACCGTTGGATCTTTTTGAAATTTGGTATACTTATAGTACCCTTTTAATGTGACATGTGAGCTTTAAAATCACTTCGATTAGCGGTCGAATGACAAAACGGTGCCTTCTGAAAGTTAACCCAGGAGGGCTGTCATGACAGCATTTTATTGCTGTCATGACAGCATCTTTTTATTTCACTTTCATCTAGCTTGCTTCCGCGTGCTATGGGTAGAACCTATAAATTTTTTTTTAAAGGCTTTAAATGTTTACTTTGCAATTGTGTATTTGTTTAGTGATTTAAATGGTTTGTTTCCTAAGTTGGTTTTAGGATTAATTCCTTAACCACACTTAGTTTATTTGAATTGTGTGATTTTTGGATAACACTCAGGGCAAGTGTTACAGTTATCCACCACTTTATACTATTAATCCTCTCCCTGGACTAATCAATCCATACAACGTACTTTCCTTTGGGACAATAAATTCCTCTAGCCAACCCTATTATACCAAACCTCCTTAGCTTAATGTGAAGATCCAAATTCTTCCTAACAAATATGACAGACCCATCTCAGCCATTGCCTACTTTGACACTAGATCTTGTAAGAGTGTCATAAAACCCTATATTCTTCCTAAAGAAGAATGGATCTCTCATGAAGAATATTTTTCCACAGCTGATGGAAAACCCTTCAAAATAGATATTATTACTAAAAGAAAAATTGGTATAATATTTTTTCCTAGATGTATTATTTAGACTAAGCTTCTTGGTAGTAACTTCGCTTAAAAGGATATCAATGTTAGTTTTGATGTCCATATACTTTGTAACATATTGGAAAAATTAATCAAGATTAAGTTAAATTAATACATTTAAGTTGTGAATTAACGTGATGCGTGGCCAGAGAGGTTTAATGAGTGGTTTCATTGTGATATAAGCCTTAAATTAGGTTTAAAGGAAAGTCTAATCACTCGAACATCAAAAAGGGAAAATCAAAAGGAAATAGTTTTGTGCTACATGCTGCTGCTTGCAAGACATTTGCCACAGCACACAAGTGTTAATTAGTAAGGAAGGGTCCTCTTTGCACCATATGTCACAGTGCATGGTCACTATTTTATAGCAATGAGAGCTATATCATACACAAAAAAATAGATACGAAACAAAAGAGAAAATGAGGAGGAACGTTGGGATATGTTAGGGCATGAGGTTTTTAAAGGTTTAAGAGCATTTTAAAGTTGTAAACATTAATAGTAAGTCTCCCATGTCCTATACTCTCTTCTTCCATTTTCTCAAGTTTTGAGGGTTAGGTTTTGCTTGGAAGGATGATTTTCAATCCATATAAGCTATGGTTCCAAATCCATTGACTTAAATAGAGTTGATGGAAATTATTTAAGTTATTTATTTAAACTTGGTATTGATGAAGATATAAATGTTAGGTTGGTGAAAGTCATAAATATACAATAATTGATGTTAATGAGGTTTACTAGAGGTGTTTAGTATAAGATCTCCTTTACTTAATCATGTTTAACTCCACAATCAAGGTAATTAAGAGATTAACCCTCAAAAGATTACCAAAGTTGTAAAATTTCATAAAAGAAAAAAATTTCTCAAATCATTTACAATGGAATCTCAAATTCAACATTTTAAATCTCAATTGATACTTATAATGTTCAAAATAGGGTTTGAAAATAAAGTGGAAGCTTAGAAATCAAAAGGGACCCAAGACAATGAGTTTTAAAACTTAAAACAGGATTTTGTGCAGAAAAGAACACATGCGCCGCAACTTGTGACATATGCGCCACAGCTCACCTTTCTTTGTGCCATGCACCGTAGTGTGAGACACCATGCACCACGGCGCATTACATGAATTTGATAGCATTAGTGCTCTCATTTGATAGTACAGGGGGTGAATTTCCAACACGTCTTAAATCTCTGTCCGATATCAGATTGAGGTAGTTTTGGTGTCTATACGGAGCTTTCTCCTACCTCTAGCTAATAGCACTAGTTTCACATCTAAATTCTCTTTCTATAAAAAATTGAACACCAAAACCCATTTTGACTAATTTTCACAAAAATCACACAACTTTGGTGACCCAATTCAATCACAAGTGCCATAAGCCAATATCGACCATCCAACCACACTCATTGACTCTAGCGGACTCGTGCAACGCACACCACACACAATCAAAAACACGTATATCTTAAAATCATCACTCAACTCTCCATTTTCACAAAACACAAGGGAGAGGAAACTCATGTACAAAATTATCATTTTTATTTCAATTCTTTCAAAATACATATGTTCTTACTTGCATAAATATTTTGGCCCTATCAATAGGTTTACATCCAAAACTTACTAACTCGAGGTATAAAATATACAAGTGGAACACAAACTAATGTAAGTAGTGTAAAATAATATCAAGTGATCCTAATTAGCAATTGCATTAACATATAAACATAAAAACAATAAGAGAGGTATACAGAAGGATTACTTCACAATCCTAAGCCTTTATATGTTGTCCTCGACTCGGATCCGATAACCTAGGCACCAAGTTTCACCTAACTTATACAATTGCATATCAATTGAAAATAGATGCAAATAAGCAAAACAAGCACAACAAAATGACAACATGATGGAATTGGTCATGGTTCACAAAACTAACAACCATGTGACCGAGCCCATAACACACATAGTCATGTTCTTTTGCAAGGCACAACATGGTGTTGCTATAATAACAGCCATGCACCCCTAACTCATACTAGACCACAATACTAACAACTATGTAACCGGATTTATATGCATGATCAAATATTAACCTTATACCCTCTTGTCACCTCTAACATGAAATTAGTGGCTATCACATAGCTACGTCCTTCACAAACTAACTCAACCTTCTACTTGTGAGGAGCTATCCGACTAGGGTTAACTTATTCACTTATGTAATCCAGTTTTCCCCAATACTAATAACCATGAGGTGTCATACCCCTAACCTAGCCTCCTTATGAATCGGTGGAGACTAGTTAGGTTCAAGTCTTTTGTAGAATAAGTAGGATAGTCCCAAATCAACTATGGGACATAGGTTAGCTCCCAATTGCAACAGTTAGTGCCAGGGCAATATCTTAATTCCAACAATCACTGCCAATACAACATGGATTTAAATCAATCTACTTCTCTTTCTAGGTGAACTCCTGCCAATAATCATATTATGCACATGTTTCACATATTATGCATTCTAAACAATCAATTCATGGCAAATAATCCATCACACTCACATTCACATACTCGACATTCTCAACGCATCACTCATCACAATTTTCCACCCACAATAACATGCCATAGTTAACTTCATAAATCCATGGGTGGCATAATCAAAGTTTTCCTTTCCAAAAACCATTTCACAAATTTAACACATCGCCAATATGCATCATGAATTTAAATCATCTATTATATTTCACAAACACAATTAACATTCAACTATAAAAATTAGTTTTTCCCTAGTTACCTCAAATATTTGAGAGATCAAAGGTTTACCCCTTACACAAAACACTTCTAAAGCTTCTCCTAAGCTTGAATGGTGCCAAAATCAAACCTCACTACATCCATACCACAAGGATATCATTGTTATCCCATTTTAAGAGTTTTACCAACATAATTTCCATAATACTATTCTATCAACCCATAAATCACTGCTCATTCATACCCAATAGGTTCATTAGATTCTATTGACTCTCATTATCATTAATAACTCTTCAAACCATCATTAATGGACATAAACCTCTCCCATCTACCTCATTAATGTTGATTTTTCGGATATTAAATGTTCCCATAAACGAACCACTTTCACAATCATTAATGTGGTATTCCAATACTTTAAACAACTCCCATTATACTCATTTTAATAAATGGAAATGGACCCATACACCTGTAGACCGAAAATAAACTTTCCAACACAAACTCTATCATAAATCTCCATAAATGATAAAGAAAAAGAAAGAAGAGGACTTAGATTAATGTGAAAATCATATTTTGTTTGTACATTTAAGAAAAAATAAATAAATATTTTTTTATTTTTAAGTCGCCTTTACTTTTAAATGTATTTGTTTTTTATAAAAAATATAAAAAATAATTAAAAAATAAAAATGAAATTGAATTCTCTTTTAAGAATTAATTTTCAAAAAAAAAAGAGGAAACATAAAAAATGAAATATAATTCTGTTAATAATTATATTTCACAAAAAATATAATAAATATGAAAAAATATTAATTTTGATTAAGAATTATATTTCAAAAAAAATATAATAAATATAAAAAAATAAAATATTAATTCTAGTTAAGAATTATATTTCAAAAAAATAATTAATATAAAAATAAAATATTAATTCTGGTGAAGAATTAAATTTTAAAAATAAAATCTAATAAATATAAAAGAAACGAAATATTAATTCTAGTTAAGAACTACATTTCAAAAAAATCTAATAAATATAAAAAATAAAATTTAATCATTTTAAGGATTATTTTTCAAAAAATATAATAAATAATAAAGAAGATTAATAAATTTAATCTCTCTTTAGAATCAATTTCAAAAATGGAAGAGAAAATCATGCTTAAATCTTTTAAAATCTCCTTATTAAATTATCTCAATAATCAAAAAATCAAAGGAATTAACTAAAAATTAAATTTTTTAAAATTCTTTTAAATCTGATTGTTTTCCTTACATTTATATAGGTTCTTGATTTAAAATCATATTTGCTCTCCTAAATCTCTGAAATTAATATTAAAAAAAAATCAAAAAATGGATGAAAAATTAAAAAGTTAATGAAAGAAAAATGGCTGAGTGCCAGCCCCATCCTTCCTCAGCTTCTAATAGACGCACGCAAAGGGGAAGACTGCAGAGGCGGCGAGCAACAGAGGGAGAGTCAGATGAACGCTGAAGAAAGAGACGAGCGTGCAGAAGAGAAGAGTAGGGGCAGCAAGCAGGAGGAAATTGAAGAGCCAGAGCAATTTGGTATGGATTGTACGGAGTAAGAAGCAGCATGAAATCGGCGCTGCAATGAAAGCAAGAGACAGGCGTATGGATTAGAGCAGATGGGCGGTGAGTTATCATTATTTTCGAAAGATCCTCCCCTTTTTCTTCCTATATATGGATGTTGAAGCGCTGAGAAAGGGGGATCGAAGTTTTGAGAGCACGAAAGACAAAGCTGAGTTCGACGCTGTCCAAGGGAGAGAGAACCGAGAGGGCGCGAGAGGGATTCAGAGACAAATTTGAGAAGGAGAGAGCAACAGTGAACGAGAAAAGAGGAAGAGGCACTGCACAGGTTTCTTAATCTACCTAGTTATACATTTGGAATGATTGATTTTTTTCAGTTTCTAAATTTCAAACAAGATTAATATTTAAGTATTCCAAAGCCTTTGATCAGTGTTGGGGACCATGAGAAATTTCTAAACAAGAAGTTAACATGTGCCTGTCTGATCGTTTATATGCTTGCATTCTGTTAGAATTCTTGGATATGGAATTTGGCTCTATTTTGTGTTTTTGGGAGTAAGCGCATGAAATTTTGCACTATGATTTATATAGGTTTAAAACATCTCTATCAGAGGGATTGGAAATATATTCTCTTTTGATAAAGTGACTATTTTGATCTCAAATTGTTGTTCAGTGAATGAAAACATATACTCTGGTTTGAAGAAAATTTCGAAGGATGGCCCTTGTTATGGTTTATTAACCAAGAATATTTTCTAGATCTTCCATCTTTTGCTGAGACATTCATGATTGTGAAGAACATTTACATTAAATGGTCAAAGAAAATTACCCACGACATATGTACATGCATATATGTTTTAGCTTCCAAATCTTTCTTTTCAGAGTACATGGTACCTCAATCTTCAAAAATTTGATATGTGATGTTCAGCCGCAATATGAAATAGCATAGCCTTTGTTTGTAAATGAATTTTCGTGACCTTTTATTTACTTGAAGTAGTGTTGTGTTCATATATGGTTTATCACATTCTCAACTCAACTGTTGGAAACCTTCTAAACATTGTTGTGCATTTTCTTTAATTCGAGGAGAGAGAGTGATTTTTTTTTTTTCCAAGTGCATAACATTCCTTCTTAGGTTGTTTGAAACTCTGAATTGACATTCAATAAAATAATGATAATAGGACTAATAATAATAATAAGAAAGAATGTATTTATTTAGGATTTATCTATTGTGTGAAATTTTAAGAATATCCTAAGATATTTATAATGATCTTTTGTTGTGTAAATCAATAAGATTTTGTAGGTATGAAGATCTAATTTTTGTATATTAAACATGAGTTCCAAAGGTCCATCATTAAAATTAACTCTCTTTTTATAATATAAATTAATAAAATATTTAAATCTCATGTAAGAATTTAATAATCTTCGTAGAGAATTAAATTAAGTGCATTATCATGTGAGATAATAAATCCTCACAGATATTGTAATTTTTAAATTATATAGAAATAAATAAATGAACTTTTGCAATAATATAATACATGTTTTAAAAAAATTATTAATTAATTAAATTATTTAAATTATAATCACATTTACTAGTGAGATTTTCTAGTCACGTGAGATTTTTGAATCTCCTTATACATTTAAATAATTGTATTGTCACATGAGTTAATAAAGCTCCGCTGGTATAACGATTAGGATTTCATATGAAAAATATAAATCATATACATACATAATAAATCAATTAAATTAAATATATAGTTAAACATATATTATTTAATCTTTTATTGAGTGAGATTTTAGAATTTTCACAGATATTTAAAATAGTCATATTATCGTATAAGTCAATAAGACTTTGCAGGTATAATGATTAAGAGTCTTTAAAAAAAATATAAAAATATAGATACACATTTTAACAAAATATATTTTTAATATTTAAAAATATAAATAAATAAATTAAGTTATTAAACTTTTTTATCTTGTGAAATTTCAGAACCTCTGCAGCTATTTGAAATAATTGTATTATCGTATGAGTCAATAAGGCTCTGCATATATAGTGGTTAAATTTTCGACCATAAAATATAAAAATAATAATAATTTAAACTCTTTACCTTTTCTTTTTTTCAAAAATTAAAAAATAAGAAAATAATTAAAATTAAATTACTTTTTGTAATTTAAAAAATACATATCAGAATTTCATAAAATTATTTTATTTGTAAAATAGTGAATTATTTTTAATTAATTTTCCTTAAAAAATATTTTCACTAACAATTTATAATCTTGAACTACGTGGGCTTTGATTCCTCTAGTAGGGTACGTAAACCCTAGGCTCTCATCCTAGGTCAAGTCCACTTGTAAATAAATAACAATTTTCCTTTCATATTTAAATTTAATTTTTAATTTTTTTAGATTTATTTTTAGTAGATGAATAATAAAAAGAATAGTTAAATTAAAATAATCTTAAAAGGCCATATCAATTGCACAATTAACAAAGGTAACCATTCTATAAAATAAGTCATGTGGGGTGTGTAAAACTTTTACCACTCACAATTGACTCTCGAATCTATCTCTGATTACAAAGATCATCCTTATCACTTTCAACTGGTTTCCCAAGATTTTTCCTTAAAATATCGGTGGCGGCTCCCTCTTTTTTTTTTCTCCCTCACGATGATTGGGCCACCATGTCACATGACGGGTGCGACAATTACTTACCTTAGGTGTTTGGGAGTTTTAATTTATCACCAATATGCTCTAACAACCAACCCTAGCAGAGCCAAAGTCATCCTCTTTGTGATTCTCTTCTTCTCTTCTCTAATTTTTGAACAGATATGAAACTGATATATTAGATTTTTGACTGTACGCCGTAGCGCACGCCCTTCGTCACTGTGAATGGCACAAAGAGGCCCATTGCAATTAAATCTGCCCCTATGTACTATAGTAGATTAACCATATGCTATAACATGTGGCATAAAGGGCACTCATTCACTTTTTCTTTCTCTATCCTTGCTTGGGTGGCTCGCTATCAATTCGAACCCACTTCAAGGGTTGATTGCACCAAATTAGGTTCCTCTGGCCACACACCTCATTAACTTACTAATTACACTCATTGGGTTGATAAATAAAGATTAAATTTTTTTGGATGTTATAACTCTCCCTTTCTTTTAAGAATTTTATCCCTAAAATTTAGTGAATCATGTAAATCTTACTTCATTAGAAGAGATGGGGATACTATTATCTCATTTTCTCCTCCGTTTCCTAAGTAGCATCTTCGAGAGTTATTCCCTTCCATATCACCTTGATTAGGCGAATAGCTTTATTCCTTAGCTACTTATCTTTTACATTAGCTATCCTTTTCTAACTCAGTCTGGTAAGTCAAATTTTCCAGTAGCTCCACTTCTTCTAGTTCAATAATGTGAGACAAATCGGGTTAGTACTTATTGAGTTGTGGGACATGAAAGATGTCATGTACACTCGATAAGTGTGTAGGTAATGCAATTCGATATGCTAACGACCCCATTCTCTTTAGAATCTCAAACGAACCATGTATCTAGAAGTTAACTTCTTCGATCAAATAGACCTCCCAATACTGGTTATAAGCAAAACTTTCAAGAATGCATGATTGCCTACCATAAACTCTAGTGGTCTCCTCCTTTCATCCACATAGATCTTCTACCAACTCTGGGCAGTCAACAACTGTCAAATTATCTCTATCCTCTCTATAGTTTGATATACCAAATCCAGACCTAAGATACTCCTCTTACTCAGCTCGATCCAGCAAAGAAGTGATCAACACTTTCAACCATACAAAGCTTTATATGGAGCCATTTGAATACTTGCATGGAAGCTGTTGTTGTAGGCAAACTTCACGAGTGGCAAGTGTTCATCCCAACTTCCACTAACTCAATTGCATATGCTCGCAACATATTCTTGAGAGTTTGAATTGTCCTCTTAGTCTGACCATCGGTCTGGGGGTGATAGGCCGTACTAAACTTCAACTTAATTAGGAAAGTTCAAGTAAGTGAATGGTATGGTCTTGAAGCCTGTAGATGATCTAATGATGGATAATGGCTATAATGGCTAAAGAATCTTGTTCTGCTCTTATATCTAGACTTGAATTTTCAATCTAGTTGAAAGAGTGGGGTTTGTCAATTTGATGTTGAAATTAGGAGCTTTAGTAAGTATCATACTCCCTTAGCTAAGGGTAGTCAACAGTGTGCCAATCAAGGCATTACTATAAGACTTGTAGGTGGTATTCAACAAGGCTATTCTGGTTATAGTAGAAATACCTTTTCTTCCGTGAAGAGCCAAGATTAGACATACTGCTCCAACATGGAGGTGTGTATCCTTGTGCTTTCAAGTGTTTATCAAAGGTTGAGGAATTTCAAAGGTAACATATTGTTTAGCAATAGTGATCGGAAGGCACATTGGTCATGCTTAGAAGTCTAGACAACTTCTTTGCCTGTTAGCTATTAGGTAGAGATTAGGGATTTGATGTTTCTAGTAAAAGATTTAGTTCTATGATACAGCTTGTAAGGATTGAGGAAAAGAGGATCTGTACTTTGTATCTGAGCCTTTTCTGGTAGGGTAAAGAATTTTACAAGTTTTTCTATTTTATCAGAAAAGGTTCTTTTTATAAAGGATAGAAGTTGATCAAAGGAAAGAGCTAAAGAAAGGCGTACAAGTTCAACAATAGCAAAGATTTTTAGTGTATCACTCATATTTTCTGAGTTTTCCTTACTTACTTTTCATCAATAACTACTTTTGTCAATAGACATTAATATTATCATTACTTATAGTACTACAAAATATACATTCTAATGCCATCAATTTACATTACTTTTCTTAAAAGTGGCATAAAAAATAGAGACAGTGACAATTTCATAACTAAGTGTTGAAATTGGGAACCTATCTACATCACTTTGTAGAAAATCGACATGGTTATTTAAATCCATGTCATTTTACACATGATATAGATTATGAAAAACATATAATTATAAATTATTAATTTATTGTAAATTATCCACTATGCTTTTCTAGAAATGCGATGTAGATAGTATATCCACGTCTATTTTTATTAAAATTGAGTTGGATTTAGAAACATTTTAAGTAATATGATGTTTATTTTTTGTTGATAATAAATGTCACTTTTTAAAAAGAGATATGGACTTTGAAAACCATGTCATTTTAAATTTGTAGGATGTGGTTAATTTAATTTAAATTTTAATAATTTCTAATATTATCAATGTCGCTTTTACCAAAAAGCGACATGGATAATTTGGGATACCTAATCCATGAAACTTTTTTTTATTAAAAAGCTACATGGAAATATTTTATATCCATGTCCTTTTTTTTTAAAAAAAAAAGCAATGTGGATTTTTATGAAATATTTTTTAAAACATAGCTATCTCTCTTGCTAGTTGGCCTTCTTTATTTTGAAACCTCTTCCTCAGCAGCTTTCTCTTCTTGTCTACATGACAGCTCTCTCTGTTCCTCCTAATGACAGTCTTTTCTTCTCTTCCCCACAGTAGCTCTCCTCTCCTCACCATGACAACGCTCTTTTCTCCTTCTCACAACATCGAGACCCACATTTAGGACTTATAACATTGAGTCCCATGGTCGACGGACAAAATTGAGACCCATGGCTAGCATCCAATGACAAGCATTTGATGGACAGCTCTCTCTTCTCCTTGTCTGCTCCTCTTTCTCCTAAACAACAGACAACTTTGAGACCCATGGTCGAGACCCATAGCTTGTCCTCCTTTTTGCCTTAAGTGAGTAATAGTTGGTTACTGTCACTTTCACCCATAAACCCTTTTTCTCTGTAGATCTTTTTGACCTTTTTTTGAGCTTTCTCCATTATCTTTGGTTTCTTCATCAATTCCGGTATCATTTATGATTTGTTTTTGTTTTAAAGTTATTATTTTAGAACCTTGTATAGTTTTTTCCTCTCAGTTAATGAATCTTCCCATTACATTCAAAAACAAAGAAACAAAGAGTAGGCTAAGAATGTCTAAACGAATCAATTTAGTTCTTTATATATAATTAAAACATTGGGCTCTTGTGAAGTTTTCAAAACCTATATATAATAGTCATGACATGATAAATTCTCTAAACTCTCAATTTTAGCCTATTTATGACTTCTAACAAGGTATAACTTTTTAGAGATTAGAGTGATAATCTACTCCATTATACAAAATAGTTACTAATTATTGGGTCTCATGCACTATATGCCTGTTAAACAAAATGATATAATTGTTCATTAATATAATTTTCTATGAAATTAAATAAATGAAAAGTTCATAATGAATAAATTTCTCAATATAATTTTCCATGATTTGTCTTAGTGACTTCCAGTTAGGATGTTTGAGTTTCCAAGAGTGTTTTAATCCCATTGTAGCAACTTGATTCTTGCTATATTGTACAGGTAAGCAACTTGTTTATTTTATAATGTTAACGATAAAGAAAATAATTGATTGTTTTAGTTTAGTTTAAGCAGTCATTCTAGTTTGTTTTAGAACTTTAATTTCCAAGTAATTGTTAACTGGGATTGGAAATTGTTTATTATTTAATTGTGATTATTTAATTCTTAATTTGATATTTAATTATTTAGACTGGTTAAAATGTTAATTTATTATTGTTGAAATTTGGAAAGGTCCCATTTTTAAGGGGGAACTTTGCCAATTTTTTTTTGATTGTATATTGTTTAAATTATTGTTTATTATTTTGATAGCTAAAGTGTTTGGACTGTTTAAAGTGTTGAATATTTGAATAGATAATAGTTTTGGTGTTCAATTAGTATATATCCAAATGCTGCTGCTGTTTGTTGGACATTATGGCAAAATATGTTGGGCCCACGTCTCTTTTTCTAAAAAAGGGAGAATCCATGTCTCTTTTATGACTAAAAGCAATGTGGTTTTTTTAGAAATCAAGTCCCTTATAAAAGTGATATGAATAAGTAAAATTTTTATGTTAGCTGGATCTATGTCTCCCATGATAGGAACATAAAATGCCCTAAAAAAGCAATGGGAATTTTTTTTTTCTTATAGCAGTGTTATGTTCTAATTAGAATATGATTTTATGCTAGTTTTTATTATCTGGTATGACACACGATCGAGAATTGGAATCTAGTCTCATACTATCGTACATAACTTCAAAATAATTTAAAGTTGTGTTTGGATGGATGGATTCAAATTGAGAATTTGAATTTAAAATCTTATATTTCAAATCTCACATTTAAAATTTATAAATTCTAAATTCTTTGTTTGTATGATATAAACAATTTCAAATTACAATAATAAAATCCTTTGTTTGGATTTAAGGTAAAATTTTAAATTTCAAATTTTATATTTGAATTTAAAAAAAAACATGAAAAATTGGTCAAACTTGATGATTCGAATTACTAACTTCCAACAGGATCAGACAAACAAAGCCGACTAGCACTGTGGCACTGGTCATAATCGGGATGAGACTTTTGACTTCCACTGAGACTGGATTGGACTTACAGCCATGACAGGGACCAGATGGGTAACTTCCATCGGCATCTAACTGACAGCGATGAACTGAACTGGACGTCCGACTTCTACTGGAATTTGATCGACGTCAACGACGAGGACCAGACAACTGATATCCACCAGGATAGAACCGATAGTGATGACGTGGACTGTACGACCGACTTTCACTGAGGACTAGGCAACCGATTTTCAAAAGGACCGGATTGACGGTGATGACAGGGACCAAATGGCCTACTTCCACCTGGACTGGACCAACAGCAGTGATGGGGATTGGATGATCGAATTCTACTGAGACCAGATCGACAGTGATGACAGGAACTAGATGACCAACTTCCACCGTTGATTTGGTCCCGATGGAAGTTGGTAGTCTTGTTCCTATCATCGCCGTCACTTTAGTCTCGGTGGAAATCGGCTGTATGGTGTTAGTGGAAGTTAGCAGTCTGGTCCCCTTTGTCATTGTCGATTCGGTGTCGGTGGAAGTCAGCCATCCCATCCCGGTCATCACCGTCGGTCCGATGTCGATGGAAGTCGGCCCTTTTATCATCGTTGTTGGCCTAGTGTCAGTGGAAGTAGGTCATCTGGTCCCTGTTATCGCCATCAATTCGATCCAACTAGAAGTTGACTGTACGATCCTGATGGAAGTCAACTGTTCGATCCTTGTTCTTCATTGTCTATTTAATCTTGATGGAAGTCGGCCGTACAGTTCTAGTAGAAGTTGGCCATCCAATCCCTGTCATTGTCGTCGATCCGGTCTGAGTGGATGTCGATCATCAAGTTCCCATTGTCAGTTCAGTCTTAATGGAAGTCGACCATCCAATCCCAATCGTTGTCATTGGTCCGGTGCCGATTGAGGTCAGCCATTAGTCCCCGTCAGGGCTGTCAGTCTGATCTTGATGGAAGTCAACTATCCAGTTCTCGTCTTTGCCATCGGTCTGGTCCCAGTGGAAGTCGGTCGTCCTGTCCCGGTCAATGATAGCAGCTTGTTTCTATGAACTTTGATAGTTCAACTAATTACCATTAGGAAGTTGATCAAGCCTTATACATTTGGGTCAAGGTACAAAAGAGCTTGATTTAGGATTTGAAATAATAAAAGTTTAGAAAGAATTTCAAATTATAAAGAAATCAAGGAAAAACATACATTTTTAATTATCCAAGCAATGGATTTGGCTCAAATCTAAATCCAAATCTAAAATCCAAATTCATGTGTATCCAAACATAGCAAAAATGCAAATCATTTTATTCCTCATATTCTCTTGTAATGATACATTTGGAAACAGATTCAGAATATCTTCTTATGGATGTATGTATTGAATTTGGAGTTTATAATAGCAGCATAAATCAAGTTTCCAATGTGAAAGTATTACAACTTACTCAATAATTGGCCAGCCCTGTCCTTTATCCGTTACATACAGACAAAATAGATTTCTATTTGTATATCCATTTTTGTCCATAAGGAAATTAATTTTCAAGCCCCATCATTTTCCATGGTCCCAAATGTGAAATCACACAAAAAGGACTCAACATATCATCCATATGTCATAATAATGATTTGGATTTAGTAATTGGTCTAAGTCTCAATAAATATCTCATGTGACATGATAATAGCTGCTCGATTTAATCAAATGATTGAAAGCATTTTGTCATGTAATACTTAAAAAGTATTAAATTTTAAAATTTTAGAAGAGATATAGTATATGTGATGAGGAGTGCTTTGCTTGAGAGAATTGTTTTGAATTTTCGAAAAAAAAAATCTTGATAATTTTCAAGATTTGACTAAATTCAATTATTGTAATGAGATACTCGCTGAATAAGTGGATCAATGTCACTCACCAAATCTAAATCTCATAATAACACCTATAGGGAAATTAATATATATATATATATATATATATATATATATGTATAATATCGCGTCACAGATGGAATATTGGATTTCATTCATTATTATTTTACTTTCATTCATCTCCCCAACCGTTTAAAAATAATTTAATTCCAATAGGATGTTTCTAAAAGGAAAAACAAAACAAAACAAAATGAGCCGACATGTCCAACGAGTTAAAAGCGTTTACACACGTAAAAATCAAAATCAAAAGTTGATAAGATTGGTAGAAAGAATATCCCCTCCCTGATCCTCTTTCCAAGATCATTGCTCACCTTCCATTTTCGCCTATAAATTAATTGACGTGTAAGAAATCAACACCTTCATTCTTTCCTTGATTGTTTCAATCACACAAATCTGAGAAGACCAAAATGATGTCCAAGGCATCCTTCTTCTTCCTCAATATCAGCTTTGTGCTGCTTCTGCAGTATCTCTCAGTTCTCTGTGTTTCACAGAACTTCGATTTCTTCTACTTTGTCCAGGAGGTTTGATCCCAACACTTAATAAGAACTGTGTGTGTATGTGTGTTTCTCTGAAACTGAAGTTGTTTGTTTGCAATATTTGATTTTGAAGTGGCCAGGGTCATATTGTGACACTCAGAAGAGTTGTTGCTATCCAACAACTGGGAAACCTGAATCAGATTTTGGCATTCATGGACTGTGGCCTAATTATAATGATGGCTCTTATCCATCAAACTGTGATTCTTCCAACCCCTTCAAGCAAACTGAGGTTTGACTTCATTTTCATTTCTTCATGTTCTGCAAAGTCTGGGCATCCTTTAAAATGTACTTGAATTTTTCTCCATTGGAATATATACCAGACAAGCTTCATTCATAGAGCAGCCTGTTCATCAATTATAATCAGAATCTGTTCAATCTGTGCAAATAAATGGCCTTGCTGTGACACTAACATGATTTTGAATATGGTGACAGATAGCAGACCTGACTAGCAGTTTACATAAGGACTGGCCCACACTGGCATGTCCAAGCGGGAATGGGATAAAATTCTGGAGCCATGAATGGGAGAAACATGGCACTTGCTCAGAATCAGTTCTTCAGCAACATGACTACTTTGAAGCTTCTCTCACCCTCAAAAAGAGATCCAATCTCCTTCAAGCTCTCAACAGTGCTGGTGCAACTTCTAAACTCATTTAATGTTAGACATATACCTCTAAATATTTTCTATTTATAGATTGATTCTGCAAAAAAGACAAGAAATTAAATATGCATTTTTGTTATAAAAATAAAGTCTAATAATACATAAAATTTTATTTGATTGAATTAGTGCAATTTTATTGGATGGAGCATGGATGACATAATGCACCAAGTTCATGAAAAAAAAATTCTCATCATCTACGTACGTTCATTTTGTGAATTTAATAGAGTCTAACGTGAATATTTGAAGGCTTTAGCTATAGATCTCGTAATTAGACATGTGGCCTACTATTCCACTTTATTCTTTCTATCTCTCTCTCTGAATATTCATCCTCTACATTCACTTTATGAATTTAGATGATATGGCCTTAATGATAAACAATTGCTGAAGACGGTTATATCTTTCTGAACTGAAACTTACATGAATTGATGCGTGAAACTATATAGGAATAGAAGCAAATGGAGGATCCTACAGCCTGAGCAGCGTTAGAGAGGCTATAAAGGAAGGAATTGGGTATGCTCCATTCATAGAGTGTAATGAGGATTCTTCTGGGAATAGTCAGCTCTACCAAGTGTATCTGTGTGTTGACGCTTCTGCTTCCAACTTCATTGAGTGCCCAGTGTTTCCCAGAGGAAACTGTAGCACACAGATTCAGATCCCATCTTTCTGATGGAATAATGCACAAAATTTAGAGTTTGCTTTGATGTTGATTTGCTTTTGTATTGATTCGTTTTCCATTAATAAACAATAGTGGTAAACCTTTAACATGCTTGCTTTAGTGTTCATAACTGTATATGCAAGTATATTTAAAAAAATGGTGTTTGAATACGCAACTTTATCGTAGACTTTATGTTAGTGATATGCTGTAACTCTTTTCATGTCAAAGATGAGTCAACATGAGATTGGATGTATTGCTCATCTTTAGAATATGTTAAAAATATGAAGAAGAAAATAATATCAAAATTCTAATTATCACAGGAATAATCAATTGATTATAATTAATTACATTATGAACATGGGCCAGCTTTTTTTAAAAAAAATTAATGCTATATGAAAACGTAAATCCATAAGTAAAAAATTGTTTTAATCAACACTACTCCATCACCGATAATCAAACTACATTTATATAACAATCGTCCCATTCGTTCACAAATCACAAGGATGCCCTCCTATGGGCATTTACGATTAAAAAATCGATTAAATAAATGTGTTTGTTTGATGGGTATATATGAATGTATGAAGATTTTGATCTTCTATAAGATATTGTGAGCTTCGCATTTGTGGAAAAGGAGGTCGGGCCAATATATTAATAATTAATCGTTTTCTCTAATAATTTCAATCTTTCATAATATTATAATAGAGAATGATATTCAAGTATCAAAAAGAAAATTAATTATAATTAGGTGCTTCACAAATTTTTTTAAAATAAGTTGTAAATATTTATTTAAATAATTATAATAAAGAATCTTAATTATAAGTTAAGGGTTATGTTTAGAATTTAAATATTTTATTTGCACTTGAAATTTATATTTATAATTAATTTAATTGATATTTATAATTTATTTTTTAAAATTTTTTATTAATTTAATTGTCACTAATTTTTTTTTTTGAAATTTAACTATGACTCTTTGGTGATAATAGGGATGATAAAACTTTTAGTCTCTCAAATTTATTTTAGTTAATAATTTGGTCCCTTAAATTTAATTTTTATCACGTAAGTCATTTAAATTTTAAAATACAAATTGATTATTCAATTAATTCAATGTATAAAGTATATTGATGATTTAGAATGTATAAGTAGCTAAATGAGAACAAATTAACCTTAAAGGAGTTTAATTTTTATTCATATAATCCCCCACAATGTGTTTTATTCTCCTTTTTTGGAAAAAATAAAACTTAGAGTCTGTTTTTCTTACCGAAATAATTACATTTTTTTTTCATTAATTTGCATAGCTATCGTCTATTTTCCATTATTTAAGTTAATAAATTTTAACAGAGTAACATTTTTTTTAAATAATAAAAATCAAATTGATAATTAAAATAACTTGATAGACTAAACTGATAGAATTTAAATTTGAGAAACCAGATTAATAATTGACATAAACTCAAGAGATTAAAAATTATATTATCCTGTGATGATATATACATGAATTTTATGTGTGTGTAGCATTTTTAATTTGATAATATCTGAAAGACGTAAAGCCACCGACAACTAAACAATCAACTATCAATCAACTAACTATATTCCACAAATCTCGTAGAATGAATTGAATGAATCTGATTGGCCAAAAAAAATCCACTCTAATTGGTTGATAGACTTTAGTTAGATGTAAATATCAAAATTTGATTGGTTTATTTTATTTCATATGATTCCAATATAAAGTCTGGGTCATCCGTTTAGTATGCAGTCCCCCCAATTTTCAAATTTCGTTTCAATCGAGTGCAATGTAATTTGCTAATTGCCCGGGAGCATTAATTGCATCCGCATTTGCATGCCCCTTGCTTCTTTGTATTCCTCATTTCTCCACGTTCTATCATTATTTCCATCATTCGTATTCAAATTTCAAAATAATATCATCAGATCTATTCTATTGTTTGACTCTCTCAATCAATTCCTCCTCAAAATGGGATTCTTTCCCCCTGTTTTCTCTCTGTCTTGCCTCAATAGATTCAGATCTTCAATCTTCAAAAGGAGAGGCACCGGATTCCAGGGCGTCATAGAATGCGTCGGTGTTGATGATGACAGCGGCGAGGCAATGAGACTACGAGAGCGAGCCAAAGTAGTGGCAGAGAGAAGAGAGGGAGCAGACGACGATGAGGAAGCTGATCGTTTCGATCTTGATGGTGTCGAGTAGGTTAGAGAGCAAGATCGAAGGAAGAAGGTGAGATTTGAATCTAATTATTTTATCCATCTATTGCTTTTTTGGTGCTTAATCCCAACTCTATCTCTCCCATTCTGTCTTCGATTCAAATTTGAAAAGAAAATCATGTCTGTTGTTCTCTCGATGGAATTATTGTCACTCAAAATGGAATTCTCTTTCCCGTTGGTGTCTACTTTTGTTGCCGCCTCAAACAGATTCAAATTTCATGTTCAAATAACATGGAAGAAGTGGATTTAGGAAACTTTCCCTTCAATTTCATCATTCTTCGTATTATTTATTGGTTATTTTGGTTTTCCAATCTTCTATCCTATTACCTTCAAACTGTTGCTATAGTGTCAGAAGCTTATTTTTTCTAATTACTTCCCCCTTTTTTTTCCATGCCCTTCATATCTTCATGTATTTATATTTTGTTTGTCTATTTATTTCTTTTTTGCATTCTTAGTTTCTAACTGTATCTTATTAATGTTTTGGATTTTTCATCTTTCATCTAATATATATGGTAGCTCTTCTTTCTTCTGCAAGGAGAGTAACACCGGAAATTATGTAGTGGTTTTGGAGGAAATACCAAGTTTAGACAATAAAGAACGCAATCACATGATATGAAAAGCATGCACAGCCAAAAATTTTAAATCCACCATAATTAGGTGTAGAACGGAATAACACTTCAAATGGTGAAGAATTTTTCAGAACAGGTGTGGGTAATCTATTGATAATATAAATAGCACTCATAAAAGCCTTCCACCAATAATGAAGAGGCATAGAAGCTTGTCCTAACATGCTTAAACCTGTGTCCACAATATGACAATGCTTACGTTCCACATGCCCATTCTGTTCAGAAGGGTGTGCACAGGGATGAGGAAACTTAACACCAGACTTAGCAAGAACTGAAGCAAAACTACAAAAATTTCCACCCCAATCACTCTGTAACACCTTGATTGTTCTTTGAAACTGATTTTCCACTAACTTCTTAGATTGAAGAAAAGTAGATAGAGCCTCCCTTTTTGATCTTAGAGAATATACCCTGGTAAACCAACTATGATCATCAACAAACTTATATAGTATTTAAAATTTGTTTTAGATTGAATAGGCGCTAGACCCCATAAATCAATGTATGTAACATCTATTGGTGAATTAGCTCATGAATCAAACACTGGAAAAGGCTGCTTTTGCACTTTACCATACTGACAAGCATAACAAAAATAAAAAATGTTATTACTATTAATGGATATATTACATTGTTTAAGAACTTCTTTAACTGCTTCACAAGAAGCATGACTTAGGTGTTTATGCCAGGTTTATAAAACAGCTAGTAAAGCTATAGATTTTTTTCATTATCAAGAGTGTGAAAAATTTGTGGTTGTCCACTAACTTTGTAGAGTCCATTGCACCTTTGCCCTCTAAGCAACTCCTTTCCCATTTTTAGATCCCTAACAACACAAAAATTAAGGGAAAATTGGATTAATATATCATTATTCAAAACGACTAAATAGATTCTTCTTAATAACAGGCACGACTAAAATATTTTTTAACAACAATGAGTTATGATGATCACAAGGGGTCATCCAAAAACATGTCTAGTAATTTTTAAACCTTCACTATTACCAATAAGCAAATTACTTGAACCAGACTGATTACTCATTCCTAAAACATGACTTTTTTCATGCATTACATGATTAGAGGCTCTACTATCTAAATATCAAGTTAGTGATAGAACACATTTGTTACACACTTTTATTTGTTAATTAGGATCCTTTTATTAATAATTTATCACCTTCAAGTGCATATATTGCATTAGATTTGAGATTTTGCCTAAGTTTTTAAGTTTAGTGCACTAGAGGTATTTTGGTCCAAAAAATAAAATTTTGAGAAAATGTTCAAGAAAAATTAAAAAATTAAATTTTATATCCAGTTGATGAGTGGTGAAATTATATTTTTAAAATTTATTTTAGTTTAAGAGTAATTAAATAAAAAAGTCAACACTTTCTTAAGTATTTTAATTTATTTTAATTAAATAAATTTTAACAGAGTAACATTTTTTTTAAATAATAAAAATCAAATTGATAATTAAAATAACTTGATAGACTAAACTGATAGAATTTAAATTTGAGAAACCAGATTAATAATTGACATAAACTCAAGAGATTAAAAATTATATTATCCTGTGATGATATATACATGAATTTTATGTGTGTGTAGCATTTTTAATTTGATAATATCTGAAAGACGTAAAGCCACCGACAACTAAACAATCAACTATCAATCAACTAACTATATTCCACAAATCTCGTAGAATGAATTGAATGAATCTGATTGGCCAAAAAAAATCCACTCTAATTGGTTGATAGACTTTAGTTAGATGTAAATATCAAAATTTGATTGGTTTATTTTATTTCATATGATTCCAATATAAAGTCTGGGTCATCCGTTTAGTATGCAGTCCCCCCAATTTTCAAATTTCGTTTCAATCGAGTGCAATGTAATTTGCTAATTGCCCGGGAGCATTAATTGCATCCGCATTTGCATGCCCCTTGCTTCTTTGTATTCCTCATTTCTCCACGTTCTATCATTATTTCCATCATTCGTATTCAAATTTCAAAATAATATCATCAGATCTATTCTATTGTTTGACTCTCTCAATCAATTCCTCCTCAAAATGGGATTCTTTCCCCCTGTTTTCTCTCTGTCTTGCCTCAATAGATTCAGATCTTCAATCTTCAAAAGGAGAGGCACCGGATTCCAGGGCGTCATAGAATGCGTCGGTGTTGATGATGACAGCGGCGAGGCAATGAGACTACGAGAGCGAGCCAAAGTAGTGGCAGAGAGAAGAGAGGGAGCAGACGACGATGAGGAAGCTGATCGTTTCGATCTTGATGGTGTCGAGTAGGTTAGAGAGCAAGATCGAAGGAAGAAGGTGAGATTTGAATCTAATTATTTTATCCATCTATTGCTTTTTTGGTGCTTAATCCCAACTCTATCTCTCCCATTCTGTCTTCGATTCAAATTTGAAAAGAAAATCATGTCTGTTGTTCTCTCGATGGAATTATTGTCACTCAAAATGGAATTCTCTTTCCCGTTGGTGTCTACTTTTGTTGCCGCCTCAAACAGATTCAAATTTCATGTTCAAATAACATGGAAGAAGTGGATTTAGGAAACTTTCCCTTCAATTTCATCATTCTTCGTATTATTTATTGGTTATTTTGGTTTTCCAATCTTCTATCCTATTACCTTCAAACTGTTGCTATAGTGTCAGAAGCTTATTTTTTCTAATTACTTCCCCCTTTTTTTTCCATGCCCTTCATATCTTCATGTATTTATATTTTGTTTGTCTATTTATTTCTTTTTTGCATTCTTAGTTTCTAACTGTATCTTATTAATGTTTTGGATTTTTCATCTTTCATCTAATATATATGGTAGCTCTTCTTTCTTCTGCAAGGAGAGTAACACCGGAAATTATGTAGTGGTTTTGGAGGAAATACCAAGTTTAGACAATAAAGAACGCAATCACATGATATGAAAAGCATGCACAGCCAAAAATTTTAAATCCACCATAATTAGGTGTAGAACGGAATAACACTTCAAATGGTGAAGAATTTTTCAGAACAGGTGTGGGTAATCTATTGATAATATAAATAGCACTCATAAAAGCCTTCCACCAATAATGAAGAGGCATAGAAGCTTGTCCTAACATGCTTAAACCTGTGTCCACAATATGACAATGCTTACGTTCCACATGCCCATTCTGTTCAGAAGGGTGTGCACAGGGATGAGGAAACTTAACACCAGACTTAGCAAGAACTGAAGCAAAACTACAAAAATTTCCACCCCAATCACTCTGTAACACCTTGATTGTTCTTTGAAACTGATTTTCCACTAACTTCTTAGATTGAAGAAAAGTAGATAGAGCCTCCCTTTTTGATCTTAGAGAATATACCCTGGTAAACCAACTATGATCATCAACAAACTTATATAGTATTTAAAATTTGTTTTAGATTGAATAGGCGCTAGACCCCATAAATCAATGTATGTAACATCTATTGGTGAATTAGCTCATGAATCAAACACTGGAAAAGGCTGCTTTTGCACTTTACCATACTGACAAGCATAACAAAAATAAAAAATGTTATTACTATTAATGGATATATTACATTGTTTAAGAACTTCTTTAACTGCTTCACAAGAAGCATGACTTAGGTGTTTATGCCAGGTTTATAAAACAGCTAGTAAAGCTATAGATTTTTTTCATTATCAAGAGTGTGAAAAATTTGTGGTTGTCCACTAACTTTGTAGAGTCCATTGCACCTTTGCCCTCTAAGCAACTCCTTTCCCATTTTTAGATCCCTAACAACACAAAAATTAAGGGAAAATTGGATTAATATATCATTATTCAAAACGACTAAATAGATTCTTCTTAATAACAGGCACGACTAAAATATTTTTTAACAACAATGAGTTATGATGATCACAAGGGGGTCATCCAAAAACATGTCTAGTAATTTTTAAACCTTCACTATTACCAATAAGCAAATTACTTGAACCAGACTGATTACTCATTCCTAAAACATGACTTTTTTCATGCATTACATGATTAGAGGCTCTACTATCTAAATATCAAGTTAGTGATAGAACACATTTGTTACACACTTTTATTTGTTAATTAGGATCCTTTTATTAATAATTTATCACCTTCAAGTGCATATATTGCATTAGATTTGAGATTTTGCCTAAGTTTTTAAGTTTAGTGCACTAGAGGTATTTTGGTCCAAAAAATAAAATTTTGAGAAAATGTTCAAGAAAAATTAAAAAATTAAATTTTATATCCAGTTGATGAGTGGTGAAATTATATTTTTAAAATTTATTTTAGTTTAAGAGTAATTAAATAAAAAAGTCAACACTTTCTTAAGTATTTTAATTTGACCTAGTTTTCGTGTTGTCTTTGTGTGAAAATTTTTTACATAATTTTGTGCAGCCTAGAACTTAGTTATTTTAATAAATTCTTCCTTCTAATTATTAATTTAATTCTAGACATTAATTAGATTTTATTATGTCACATGCTATTTAATTAAATTATGTGATTTATGTGACATAGGTGGCATGTGACTTGTGCATCAATTGGGCAATTGAGGTCAATAGCTAAGCATTTGCATGTGATTTATGATATTTTTGGGGGATTAAATCAGCTTGAAATATGAATGACACGTGAAAAATTAGGCACACATTGAAATTATTTACAAACCAATAGAAGGGTGCCACCTTGCAAGTGTGACAAGGCTCCTATTTTCTTTTTATTTTTTTTAATTTTTTAATTGAGTATTCAGCTGAAGGGAAACACTAGATGCATGTCTATTCAGCCCCAAATTGAGATTATTCACCCATTCACTCATCTTTTACATTTTCTCTCTCTTGTTTATCTTGTTCTTCATTATTCTCTTCCTTCTCTCTATACATACAGCCACATCCAAGTACCTTTTCTTCTACTTTTCACCATCAAATCCACTCAATTCTTTCACCATTCTCTTTTTCTCTCATGGCCAACCCTAACCCTTGCAACTAGAAGGAGATTTGAAGCTCAATTCATCAAGATTCATGGAGCATGTATCGGCCTCTTGGTGTTCTTGGAGGAGCAAGGATTTTTTGATGTTTTCTAGCTAGATTCTCCATGGAATCCTAAGGGAGAATTGATGGAAGAGGAGTTTTGAAGTCTTCACTTGGCTAAGCTCAACTATTTCTTCATCTTGTTTCAATTTCATTAGAGTATTATGAATATAGTTGATTGTAGTTCAATTTGACTTTACTTTCATGGTTGTTTATAATTTGTAATGTTAAAACAAGATTTTTGAGTTGAATTTCATGACTTAAGTGCTGCTGGAATTTCATCCACTCTATGAATTTGCATAGTAATATGTGATTTCAATGGGTGAATGTCTTTTATTAGCCTAGCATGTAATTGTATGGTGAATACTTAATGAGTTGCTTGAGTTTTCATAGTTTTGAGTTTAGGTACAGCTTTGAGTAATGGCAATTAGAAATGAATTTCAACTAAACACTTGGTTAATCCTAGAGCTAAGCTAGTAAGGTCACTAAGGGGGCTTGAAATAGCACTTAGGAATTGAATTAGTAAAGCTTGGAGGATACTTGAGATAGTTGCCTTAAGTAATTACATTTTTTAGCCAAGAAAGAAGAGTTGAGTGAGCTGCCATAATTAATTAAAGGCTAAGAATCTTCTATTAACAACTCCTTAGGATTCCTACTTAAATTGAAAAGCCACTTCATTCATAATTAGGTTTAGTTTGTTAGTTTAATTTACTAGATAATTAGGTTAGCAATTAGTTAATCAACTTCAAACTTTAGGTGATTTATTTCACTAGATAACTTTAAATTAGACTTATAATCATTCATTGGGAGATGACCTAGGTTTGGCCCTATATTGCATTAGGGTTAGCTTTAGTTTAATTTTAAAGATAAGTGACAATTCCTATCAGCTAGATCTTGTAAAATCTCAAATGACGCATAATAGGCAATTAGAGACATGTCACGATGACCATATGAGCGATCAAAGCGATGATAACAATCTAAACCAAAGTGATCGAGTTTTGTGCACACTTGACAAACAACTCCTTTACTGCTATTGTTGTTATTGTTGCAGTATGACCGATTGCAACCTTAATTACCACGACTTCGATTAGTATCTCGCCAGTAAGGATGTGAACTACCAAAAGGTTGGCTATAACCAAAAGAATGATTAGTCTTAAAGGATAAACTAGCAAATGAGTTACTCACAGTGTTGATATTATTGACATGCTCAAGATGACGCTCATGTGTGAGTATCTTAGAATGCAGCTCAATCCACGTAAGATTTTCTCGATCAAACAAAAGAACAACAATAGGTGTATATTTATTGTCTAAACCTATAAGTGTTTACATAACCAGATCTGTAATAGGTACTGATGAACCAGCTGGCACCATATTATTAGCTATAAGTTTCATCTTGTTGAGGTAATCTCCATAGTTAGTGAACATTTACACATGTGTTGAAATTCATTTCTCATCACAGTAAGACAAGCACGATGCGTGAGCAAGCTAAATCAATAGTAGCTCTCCATAATTGAGCTATAGTTTTGCAATGTAAAACCTGAGTAGAAATATTTGTAGTCATTGATCCTAGCAGCCAACCATATATAAGTTGGTTAGTGGTGTTCCATTCCTCAAAGGGAGGAGTAACGATGATATCTGAGCCTTTGGGAATAAATTCTGGCAGAGGAGGCTTCATTCCAGTGATGAAGCCTTTGACTTGATGACCACGTAAGACTAATAAAATGAAATTATGCCACATCATGTAATTGGATTGATCTAACTTGACTGATCTTGCTTAGTACATGCTATTTAAGAGAGGAATCATCTTTGACTGAACAGAGGTTAGAACGCTAATTAGAGTAGGAATTATAGTAGAAGACGATGGAGAGGTAGTAGTGGAGAAAAGAGGAGCTGAAACAGTGAAAAGAGGTAAACCAGTGAAGGAAGAGATGGAGGAAGAAGACAAACCAAGCACAAGAATGGAAGCCATGACAGTGTTTTCTCGCTCTAATACCAAATTAGAAAAATGCAAGATATGATTCTAACTCTCTCACAATGTGTAAGAGGTGCATTGTATTACTAATCATTATATACACGCAAGACAGTTATAATAAATTGTACATGTCACTGCTTCTACAATGTTTTACTGAGTAAAACAATAAATAAAAATAAATGAACAAAAATACATTAAAGGCCTAAATAATTAATGGACTGGGGTTTTTATCTTTAACAAGGAGGTTAATCTTGAGGATATACCGATGCAAGACATGAAGGAAAAAATTACCAAAAAATGGCGTGAATTTGTCCAAAAAGCCTCCCATCTTGTACAAAGAGAAGCTAATTGGAGAGGTAGAGAAGAAATTTGAGCATGATTTCAAAGACCTTATGAAAGAATGGCTTCAAGAAGAAAAAGAGCTCACCCCTATTCTGACTGAGTAACAAAAGTAGATCATAAAAGTTCTTCTTAAAATCAGTATCTCAGATGAGAGATTAAGAAAATTATGCCTCCCATAAGAGGATGCACTAGTCTAAAGTACAATACTAAAGGTAATGCTTGATAGACTAAAATGGAAGCTTGAAACAGATAAGTTTGAGGTTATTGATTTTCCTAATAATTATTCCATGTTTCATGCTCTAGATGAGTCATTGTCCCATCTTGGTCATTACATTAAGGTTGTTTCAGTGGCACCTCCGGATCTTACGCATCCTAGGCATGTTGAGCTTGTGTGCATTGTGGAATTCTACCACGTCCTCTCATAGCTCTATAGCAGTGCTACAATATAGTTATAGTAGCTTTACGTACCTTTCTCCTCTCCTTTAGAGTAAAGGTAAAAAAGTCAATACATAGGTGGTTAGAGGTCGAAAAAGAGTAATGAATGTATGAAAGTTGCCAACTAATGTGATGCAATGTACAAAGAGGGACCAAAACCAAAGAAGACTATGCCAAAATGTAAAGTCTGATCTCACAACTAGCTTTGCCATTCCACATCACACAATCAACAAATCAAAATCACAATAATGTTAGAGTAATAACTCTTTATTTATTTTCAAGTCATGAGATTCCGACTTCTTAAAGCATATATTCAAATAAGAGGACTAGTGAAAGCGCAGATGCAGTAAAACAACTCAACAACATAACAACTATTTCTGGAAATGGGCAATGTGCCACAGCGTGTATCACATGCGCCGCGGCACGTGGCACAGAGCGACTTGCTTTGTTTTTATTTGTGTCATATGCTGCAACGAGCACATCATGTGCCGTGGCGCTCCTGCTTGAATTTCTATTGTCATTTTGATAGCAAATTCACATCTAATGTTTGATTGGAGTGATTCAAGCATCCACACTAAACTTACATGTACTAGCTAATGGAATAAGTTTAAATTTGATATGATAGTTCAATCTAAATTAGACACCTGGGTGTAAAAAGTCACTTTTTCTTTTAGAAACTTATACCTTAAGTGCTCAATTCTCATTCCTTATCCTATTAAACTATTTCAGGCCTTGAACTAAGTCCAAAAGGATCACATATACATGATCATTACACGATACACACATATCACATTAATAGCCCATTTTGGCCTCTTAAACCTATATTACACATTTGTGGTCTTATACGAGGAAAACATATATACAACACATAATCACATATACAACTAGACTTATTTCACTTTTAACCCTTCGACTCTTACATATGGCGCTTCACCTCACCATATGGTCGGGAATTACAAATATACTCGATTTTTTTAAATGGGGCTCTACCTCACCATTTGTGTCAAGTTCTTATTTTACAACACAATATATATTCAATTCACATAATCAATCACAATCAACACATATATACACCAATGGAACAAGTTATAATACAACACATACTTGCTTAATTCGTATTTAAGTCCACCCACATACCCTCCACTGAGGCTCCCTTGGCATAATACAACATCATATCCAAATATAGAAGCAAGTTTCACAATACCATACATTTTCTCATATTCATATACATTTATGTATCCTAGTTGGCAAGTTAACTCTATCAACACATTATACATTCATTTTTACTCAAAGGTAGTCATACCACTACTACTTAAGACTACTCTTTCATCACTTCCTTTCCTGGCCTTCTCAAGCTCTCTTCACTTGTGTTCAAAAATGATAGAGAGAGACCTATGTCTCAGTAACTCGGAGGAAACCCCAATACCAATTAGTAAGCAAAATAATAAACAAGTAATAAAGTAATATGTGTAGTTATAAAACAATAACGTATGCATATATAAAAATTCATTCTCATCAATCTCGTTATGCTTATGCAATACATTCCTAGTTCTCCCTGGCAGAGTAAACTCTACACTCGAACTAGGACTTCTAGTTATAAGGAACAGGGCCTACCATACCACTGCTCAGACTAGGTCATTCTTTGTGTGGGTGGTCTTCTAGGTCTATCATAAAGGAGTCAAGCTCTATGCTCTAGATCACCAAGACTTTTTAGCCTTATACAGAGGATGACCACGACCCCCTACTCTAGTCTAGGGTAACCTTATGGATTATTTAATGTCCTAGGTTTGTTGTGGCGGAGTCAAACTCTAAGCTCTGAATCATCAGGATTTCTTCTCTTAGGTTTGTCTTAGCAGAGTCAAGCTCTATGCTTTAGATCATCATGACTTCCTAAACTCCTCATGGTAAGGCCGTGTTTCCCCCACCATAATCCATGGTATATCTTGTAGATACGATGCATATCAATGCGCATTTCACTTCAAATTCATTTCAATCAATACTTGCATACCCGCATGCATATACTTTCATAATGCTACAACTCTATCAGTTCATAACACAATGCACAGTTATATCAAAATGCTTGTAGATAATTTCACAAACAAACAAGCAAAAGAGTTACTTTAGTTACCTTTAACCCTTACTACTAAGAGTTACCAACCAAACTAAGCACCTAGGAATGCAGATTCTCACGAGCAACTTCACAGGTACTCAATCTACATAACACAGTGCCCCTTAGTCAATCCTCAACACATTTCATAGGCACTTTTTTAACTAAATTGAATCCCTTAACACATAATATAGTTCAATTGAACCCTTTTCAATTCACTTATCCATTATTCATAGTCATTAGCCCTAAAGGCTACTCAAACAATCATAACTCATTCACCCAAATTCCACCATTTAACCTAACTTTTAGGCCATTTTAAGCCTATATGCTCAAAACTCAACCATTCAACTCCATACTAGTCACAAAACCTTAGTTCTATATTCGATATCCTATTTTAATCCTTTCTTTTAGATTACAAAA